AAATACAATCTAGTAGCTGAAATGGCAATACCAGCACCACGTCACCAGCTAGCTCTCCTCAGGTAACAAGGACTCTATGGACAGTTGTTGGAGACTGATAACAGGAAAACAAATCCCTACCTTGCAGAATACAGAATAAGTCTTTACTAGTAAGGACTGAAGCAAACTTAAGGTAGCTGCCAAGTTAGAGCTTGTAAAAATACACCAACAATAAGCCTCACCAGCACCTAATTGTACTAAATTCTCCCTTTACAATCTTCCATCCCATTAACGTAGCTCTTGCTCACAAAGCATTGCCAGGTATCAGTTTACTGCCACTCATCCGTATCAGCTTAAGAGAACCTACTGAGGCAGCAGACTAGAGATACTCAGGAACTCTGAAAAGGAGACTCAGAGTTCAGCTGTGTGGCCAAAAAAGAAATCTTACCTGCTTCTACCTTGACTTTGTCTGCAAAGAAAAGTCTCAATTCTACAGCCTTAATTCCATCAAAGCAGGCAAAATATACCACCTAACCCAGAGTAATGGGAAAATTAAGATACAAAGACATGGATCTCCACATCATGAGACTAAAGAATTTGAGGGAAGATGTTAAATATTGTTTCATTATTTCTAATTTTGACTTTGCAAAAAAAAAACACTTAGCAGATTTGTGACTACCACAATAATCCTTGTTTTGATTAGACTTCACAGACATCAGGACTGGAAGGGACCTCGCAAGATCATTGGGTCCAGCCTCCTGGCCCAAGGGACAGGAAGTCAGCTGGGGTCAGATCACCCCAGAGAGTTAAGCATCCAAGTGTTTCTTAAAGGTTTCCAGAGTAGGTGCTTGCACCATTTCTGGGAGGAGTCTATTCCAGACTCGGACGGTAAAGAAGTTTTTCCTTATGTCCAGTCTAAAGCTGTCTTCCAGCAGTGTGTGACCATTAGACCTTGTCTCCCCTTGGGGTGCCCTGGTAAGCAGATGTTCTCTCAGTCCCTGATGCACAACTCATGTACTTTTCTATAAAAAGCCTTTAACTTTTCTTGTGCTGTCTGAAAAAGTTAGCAGATATTCGCTGGTTCAGCATATCCAATGCTGTTCAAAAAACAGAATTCCTTAAAAAAAAAAAAAAAATCTCAGTACTAGATACTGGTGTGCATTTCTGGAAGCACCGGCATGTACTTCACAAGATTCCTCATGATATACTTTACAGACAATGAACCACTGGTTCAATACTCAATTTTGTAAGAAGCAAGGATTTCCTGGGGTGATAACTTTTATTGGACCAACTATGTACTTGGGATAAAGTTAGATAAGCTTTTGAATGCAAGGGATTCTTCAGCAGATCTCCCTGATTTAATTTTGTAATCTTTTGGCAAGATGAAGCAAGAGGGATTACCTACCCTGGTAAGCAGATGTTCTCTCAGTCCCTGATGCACAACTCATGTACTTTTCTATAAAAAGCCTTTAACTTTTCTTGTGCTGTCTGAAAAAGTTAGCAGATATTCGCTGGTTCAGCATATCCAATGCTGTTCAAAAAACAGAATTCCTTAAAAAAAAAAAAAAAATCTCAGTACTAGATACTGGTGTGCATTTCTGGAAGCACCGGCATGTACTTCACAAGATTCCTCATGATATACTTTACAGACAATGAACCACTGGTTCAATACTCAATTTTGTAAGAAGCAAGGATTTCCTGGGGTGATAACTTTTATTGGACCAACTATGTACTTGGGATAAAGTTAGATAAGCTTTTGAATGCAAGGGATTCTTCAGCAGATCTCCCTGATTTAATTTTGTAATCTTTTGGCAAGATGAAGCAAGAGGGATTACCTAGAAGCACAAGTCTTAGTTAGCTACATGTTTCAATCACTTCCCCCGCCATACCTTGGTGAAAGGAAGAGTGTCATCTAAAGTTACACGTATCTGAAAGGTTTTTTTTAACTAGTGCCAAGAATGCCTAAGAAGGAAAGGAAAAAAGTATACACTGTGCATTTGGTAGCCTTTTGCTATTTAGAGATACTTAGTTGGCTTCCTGGTTCTTCCCCTCCCCCTACTTCTCCTCCCTTTCCTTTCTACATGGGCAAAGGGAACAATATTTAAAATTACGTGGGCATAGAACCACAGACTAACAAGCGAGTTTACGGGCACTAAAAGTTCTTGCAACTACTTTGTGCTAGCAAAGTTGACATTGTTTTAAAAGGGCACCACTTTGGCTTTGTTTGCCTTCATGACAAGAATGGTAGCAACACCTGGAAACGGACATTCTAAGTTTAAAGCATTCTGAGTTTTTACACAGCTCAGTCTGAAACAGTATATATGACTGACTAAAAAGCTTCGTGCATGTGAAAGAGTGCAAGGTTATGATTTTACTTTCTTACTCTGGGACATCAAAATCTTGTCAATTCATACAATTAAAATAAATTTGCAGTTCTTTTCTGCTTCAGCTCAATTTGCAGAAGTGCTTAAGAGGCAACGAAGCCTGCAAACTCTTAATGACACCACCATGAAACAATGTGGAGCCTTTAGAGACGCCACTTTATTTCTGCTTGGAGCTACTTGATTAAAAAAAAAGAAAAACTTTCAATTTTAGGCCTAGGTATTTGACACTTGCAAGCCATTGGTAAAGAGCTTGCACTTCTACAAAAATCTGTGCTAAGTGATGTAACAGAATAGGGTCAATCTTAGTACTGTTGCAAGAAATGGGACTGAAATTATTTCATCTGTTTCATACTTGGAACCTGTCTCTACAAGTCAAAACAGAAAACAAGCCAACTCATATCTGCAATTCCAAAAAAGAAAAATAAAAGCAACTGATATACTTATTCTTCTGCCTTGTTCAGTAGGCCTTAAGCTGGAACTCTCTTTTGTGCTTGTGTAGCTTTGGATAGCCATGTGGAAGGTCATGCCCAAAAAAACTAATGCAGGAGACTGGAAAGAGCAACTGAAGGCAACTGAAGGCCAAGCTTAAATGTCTTGAATGGTAGTGTTGTTCAGCTGCCAGATCTTCATCCAAAAGGCTTTTGACATACACCACAAAATGCTTGGGGGGGGGTTTTGGTTTGTTTTTTTTTTAATTTAGCCTCAAAATATCTTGTTTCTTTTTATGAAGTTACTACTAAAGGCTGCTGGCTTAACACACCACACACAGTGGTTGCACCACTGAGATCTGGAAGCCACTCAACCAGCAGAATAATCTCATTGGCAACTAAATTCCTAGGTTACCAAACCAATCTTCTTTCCAACTCGTGAACTGCTCTACCCACCCTTTGAGGAACTGGCACTCCATGACCCTCATTGTGCAAGGGAGGGAACTGAGGTACAAAATATGCTTTGAACCGTAAAGAGGAAAAGAGC